GGCGCAGCTGTGGCCAGGCCACCCTTTCCCAGCCAGTCCTGGAGAAACCAGGTTGAAGTCCTTCCCCAGGGGAGACTGAAGATGGGGCTGGGCACGGGGGTGGGAGAGGGACTGTGTGTGAACAGCGGGTGGTGTGGGCTTTGTTTGCTGCACTGGTTGGAGAGTCCCTTCCCTCTCTGGGCCTCAGTTTCCCTTTCTGGCTAGTGAAGAAATTTGCCTCAGTGGCCTCCCAGTGCTATGCCTCTCCCTCAGGAAGCGTCTTTGGCTGCTGCTTCATTTTATTCACAATTGTCCTGGGAGGTTGGTCTAGGCACGCTCAGTGGGTTGTACTCGTGTGCGCGTGTGTAAGCATCCATGCTGGGAGTGTGTGTCCATCTGTGTGTATCCAGTTGTGCACCAGTATGCTCAGACAACACGGGCATGCGCATGTATGAGTGGATGTGGCTGTGGGTGACTAGGGATGAGCGAGTGTGAGCCCGGCTTGCCCATTCCTCTGCCCTAGGGCCAGTCTCCCTAACTACTGCCATTGGGTGGAGGCCTCACAGGAAGTTGGGCTCCTGAACAACGAGGCAGGGTGGGCTCCCACTGCCCCCACCACCATCTAGGGGCCGGTACACGAAGTGGAAGTCACGCTTGGGTTCACTTCGAAGCAGATAGCCCTTGATGTGGTGGGGCAGCGCCTCGTCCGCCAGCTGGAAGCAGCGCCCATCCACCAGCACAAAGAGCCGGTGGTCCTGAGGCTGCGCCACCTCGAACTTCTCAGCGCACTGTTCGCACAGCGCCTGGGCCAGCGTGTCCGCCCGCGATGCCAGCGTCCGTGACTGCTGCTCAGGTTCCAGGTATGACACACAGATGAAGTCCTGCAGGATGATATGGAGGGCCTGCGGTCACCCCTGGGGACAAGCAGACGTCCCATCTCACCCCACCCCTGTGCCAGAAGCTTGGACCAGGGGTGAGGAGTTGAGTGGCCCTCCCTGTGCCCCAGGCTCCTCTCTGTAAGACAGGGCTTGGGGGAGTGGTCGTGAAGCTGGGAGTCAGGACACCTGTGTCCTCTTCTCTGTGGCTATGCTGCTGTGTGACCTCCCCTCTCTGAGCACCAGCTCTCAAGCGGGCTGATCATTCTGGGTGATTCAGGGTCGTCTTTGAGTCTTTGCACTGAGGAGTGAGGCTCCCCCTGCTTGCCAGGCCGTGGGCTCGCGATCATTCATTCACTCCCTTCCTTCGCTCTTCTGCACTGAGCCCCCTTGTACTCCAGGTGCAAAGCTGGGCGTGGAGGGCAGTGTGAGTAAAATTGGAGGTGCAGATCCCACCCCCGAGCGCCGCATGGTTCCGCTGATGCTGCTGAGGCAGGCGGGACGGCTCAGCTCCTTCGGGGCTCAGGGGAGAAGCAGGCAGCGCGGGGCAGGAGGGAAGGCTTTGTGGAAGGGCGGGGGGCAGGAGCCGAGCAGGAAGGATGGGGGGTTTCGGACAGTGGAGTGGGCCCCCACATGAGCAAGGCGGGCAAGGGTGAGGGGAGGCCTGGGGGCTGGCGTGTCACACACACACCCTCCTCTCGCATCCCTGCAAGGAGGATGTCCCTCAGTGTCTGGCTTTGAATCTGTTGCCACTCACTTGATCTGAGTCTCTATTTCCTCCATTGTAAATTAGGCTAACATCAGTCCTATGTCATGGTTGTGAAAATACCGATAAACTGAGCCCAGACCCTGGAACACAGCCTCTCCCCTTTCCCCAACCACCCAAAGGCAGGTATGAAATGGTGTGTGCAGGGCTGCCCCCTTGTGGAAGGAGTGGTAACAGCATGCTCAAACGGGCTCCAAGGCTGTCTCAACAACTACAGCTACAGCTTGAGGCAGGCTCGATGCTGCTGACAGCTTCAGGGGGATCAGCCCATTTCCTCCCAGCACGGGAAAGCCCCACTCTTTCTAGGTCTTAAAGGCTGCCTATGCCCTTCTTAGGAGCCCTGGTGGTGCAATGGTTAAGCGCTCAGCTGCTAATCGAAAGGTCAGCGGTTTGAACCCACCAGTGGCTCATCAGGAGAAAGATGTGGCAATCTGCTTCTGTAAAGATTATAGTCTTGGAAACTCTATAGGTCAGTTCTAACTCTGTCCTGTGGAGTCGCTATGAGTCCGAATCGACTCCACATCTGTGGGATTGGTTTGGTTTGGTGCTCTCCTTAATACCTTTTAGGCCCTCTAACGGCTCTTTGGAGCCCTGGTGGCGCAGTGGTTAAGAGCTTGGCTGCTAACCAAAAGGTCAGCAATTCAAATCCACCAGCTGCTCCTTGAAAACGCTATGGGGAAGTTCTACTCTGCCCTATAAGGTCGCTATGAGTCGGAATCGACTAGGCGGCAATGGTTGTAAGGGCTCTTTAAGGAGCCCTGGTGGTGTAGTTGTTAAGTGCTCAGCTGCTAACCGAAAGGTCAGCGGTTCAAATCCACCAGCTGCTCTCCGGGAGAAAGATGTGAAAGATGTGGCAGTCGGCTTCCATAAAGATTAACCAAATCCAAACCAAACCTGTTGCTGTTGAGTCGATTCCAACTCTCAGCAATCTTGGAAACACTACCGGGCAGTTCTACGTTGTCCTACAGGGTTGCTATGAGTCAGAATCAACTAGACAGCAATGGTTTTTTCTTTTTTTTCTTTTTTTCCTTTTTTTAAGGGCCCTTTAAGGAGCCCCGGTGGCAAAGTGGATACGTGCTTGGCTGCTAACTGAAAGAAAGGTTAGTGGTTGGAATCAACCTGCTGCTCCTCTGGAGAAAAGACCCGGCGATCTGTTCCCGTAAAGATTACAGCCTAGGAAACCCTATGGGGCAGTTCTACTCTGTCATTTAGGGTCTCTATGAGTCAGAATCGACTTGACGGTAATGGATTAACCTTTAAGATTCCTGAGTGGTACAAATGGTTTGCACTTAACTACTAACCTAAAGGTTGGCAGTTTGAACCCACCCAGTGGTGCCATGGAAGAAAGGCCTGGCAATCTGCTTCCATAAAGATTATCACCAAGAATGCCCTATGGAGTACAGTTCTACTCTGTAACACATGGGGTTGCCATGAGTTGGAATCAACTTGATGGCAACAGGTTTGTTTTTTTAAGGGCCCTTTGCACCTACTCGAGACCTGGTGGCGCAGTGGTTAAGAGCTCGGCTGCTAACCCAAAGGTCGGCAGTTTAAATCCACCAGCTGCTCCTTGGAAACCCTATGGGGCAGTTCTACTCCGTCCTCTAGGGTTGCTATGGGTCAGAACCGTTGACGGTAACTGGGTTTTTGGCTGCACCAAACTGGTGACTGTGGGGCTCTGGGCTTTTGCTCCCCAAGGAAGGGATTTGGGGTGTGGGATGCAGGGGAGGCACTGGGAGGCTGCAGAGGGGGTGGTGTCCTCCCTAGACTCCAGCAATAGTGCTCAGGGGGCTCGGGCTACTCTGCCGGCCCTGAGTGCTCCTCATCCTTCATCCTAGGCCTCCCCCTAAGCACCTGCCTCCCCAGCACTGATGCTCCACCTCCCTGGTGCTCTGCCTGGCTCAGCATGAGCCCAGAGTAAGGGGCGCCTGGGCCAGGCTTGGACCAAGAGTGTCCATATTCCCAGAGTTTGCAGGAGGTTTGTACCAGGAGGGGATGGGGGCAGTGGTTTGCCGGAGCTGGCTAGAGTCTGCTTGTACTGGCTTAGGAGAGCGGATTGTGTGCATCTCTTTCCACCTCTGAGCTCAGTGATGCCAAGTTGGTACTTTGAAATTGGCTACGGTGGGAGTATTTACACCATGGAAATCAACAGAAGCAAAAATCAGGACTGTTTTCTCCCTAGAGAGCCGACTGTTAAATATTTATCAATATGCCATGGGTGGGGGATGGGTATCAGCTTGGCAGCTTAGAACATACACCTCGGAGGCCGAGCTCATTTGGTTCACAGCCTGTACTGATAGGGAAACAGGCCCAGAGAGGGGTGGGCACTTGCTCAGGGTCAAACAGCAAGCTAGCACAGACCTAGAACCAGAACTCGGGCTTCCTGCACAGCCAGGCCTGGGCTCTGCCCAGTACAGAGAGGCCATACTGAAAACCAGGAGTGGAGCTCAGGACTGGCTGCTCCAGGTCCCAGGGGGAGCTGTTTACAGCTCTGGATTGCTGCCTGCACACTCTCCAGCCCTGCTCTAGTCCTGGCCCTGGGCTTGGGGCCCCTGACAGGTGTGAGACAGGGGCCCACCCTTCCAGAGCAGGCATGTTCATACACTGACGGTTACAATATGGTGTGATACCTGCTGTCATGGGGGAACTACAGAGGGGAGCACCGAGGAGGGTGTAGAACCCGGCCTGTGGGAATGGGGGCTGGGTGAGGGGGTCAGGGAAGGCTTCCCAGAGGAGGGCCTGTTGAGGAGCTGAGTTACCTTAAAGGATGGGCAGCAGAGAGCAGCTAAAGAAGAGGCAATGGGTCAGCATGTGCAGAGGCTGAGGGAGTTGAGTGCAGCAGGTTTGGGGAATTGTGATAGCTGGATTTGATGGAGCCTGATGGCGTGTGGGATGATGGGAATGGAGGAGGAGGCAGGAGTTTGGCCATGAATGGCTTGTATACTGAGTTTATACAGAGAGATGGGAGTCCCTGGTTGGTGCAAACGGTTAATGTACTGGGCGGCTAACTGGAATGTTGGAGGTTTGAGTCCACCCAGAGGTGCCTCAGAAGAAAGGCCTGGTGATCTGAAAAATCAGTCATTAAAAACCTATGGAGCACAGTTCTACTCTGACACACATGGGGTCACCCTGAGTCCTAGCAGAGTCCATGGCAACTGGTATAGAGAGACTGGGGAAGAATGGGTGGCTGGATTGGAGGAGGCAGGCTAGTAGGGGCAGGGAGATGCTTGGCAGCAGCTGCATTTGTCCAGGAAACCAAGAGACTGGGATGGACCGGGATGACTTATCTCCACCAAACAAACGAACAAAAACTGGTTGCCTTAGAGTTGCTTCCGACTCACAGTGACCCTATAGGACAGAGCAGAACTGCCCCATAGGGTTTCCAAGGGGCGGCTGGTGCATTCGAACTGCCGACCTTTTGGTTAGCGGCCGAGCTCTTAACCACTGCGCCACCAGAGCCCTCTTCTCTCCACATTCCTCCTATATCCATCTTGTCTGTTCAACTAGAACACATGCCTAGTGGTACTTCCGCAGGCCCACCCAAGTCCCGGGAGCAGAGCTGGGCACACACTGGCCGGCAGGGGCGGGGGACCTTCCTCAGGTGGAAGCATCACTGCTCCGAGGGCAGGGCTGGCGGCCAGAGCAGCCAGTCAGGTGTCAAGGTTCCTGAGACAGCGGGCAAGAAGCTTTGGGGATGGTGTCTGGGCCATAGTTCCTCCCTCCGTCCCGGAGTCACCTGCACGGAGGAGCGGGAGGCGCGAGCTTTGTTGAGCGTGCGCCGGCGCTCCCAGCGGTGGATGGAGTCCTGCACCTCCACGCTCAGCTGCCGGGTCACCGTGATCTTGTCGTAGTTTTTGATGTGCTCCAGGGCTCCGTAAGTGGTGGTCAAATAGTAGGAACCTGCAGGGACAAGGGTATGGAGGGTTAGCACCGCCTAGTCTCACCCCCAGAGGGGGAGCTAGTGCAAGCTGGTCCCCCGCTTGTCATCTCCCTCCCCAACAAGGGAGCGGCGGGCCAGTTCCACCACCTCCAGGCTTCCACCCACCTCCGCTCCGCCCACAGCCTCCAGTCTCCACCCACCTCGCCCTCTTCCACCGCCTCCAAGCTCCACCCATAGGAGCCCCGCCCACAACATCCAAGCTCCACCCACCACACTGCCTGGAGCGGTCGTGCGGAGCTTCGGTCCCTGAGTGTCTGTCTACTGCACACCCACCCCGCAGCTTCAGCGAACTTCCTGAACGGTCGCGGCCCTGCTCAAAACTTTGTATTGGTTCCCCATTTGGCACCGAACTCTTGCTTATTTTTAAAATGATATAACGGTTGTCCCCGGACATTCTCTGGAAGGATACACAGGAACATACCCGTGGATGCCTTCAGGGTGGGAGAGGGGGTGGCTGGGCGACAGGGGTGGGCAGTATTCTCACAGTATACCTATACATACTGTATGCAACCAGAATGCTCCTTAGAATCGAGGATAGAGAGACTTGGGCTCGCTCCTTTTGGACACATCATCACGAAAGACCAGTTGCTAGAAAACGGCAGCATGTTTGGTAAAGTAGAAACCCATTACACTTGAGTGGATTCTGACTCATAGAGACCCTACAGGACAAAGTAGAACTGCCCCATAGGGTTTCCAAGGCTATAATCTTTACAGGGGGCCCTGGTGGTGCAGGGGTTAAGAGATCTGCTGCTAAGCAGTTCAAATCCACCAGATGCTCCTTGGAACCCTATGGGGCAGTTCTACTCTGTCCTTTAGGGTCGCTATGAGTCGGAATCGACTCAACGGCAATGGGTTTGACTTTATTTTTTTTAAATATATATATATTTATATGCTTTACTGGTTTTGCTTCTCTAGAGAACCCAGCCTGAGACAGTGGTTTACCCCAGAACTTCCTGATGCAAGAGACAAATCAGCCCCTCACTCTTATTTAAACCATGATCAGTTACATTGTGAGTTATTTGCAGCCCAAAGTATTCCTCACTGCTTCACTGTATGAAGCTGCCTACATATCCCCACAGGTTCCACAACCAATATGGGAAAAGTTCACACCTTAGCTTGGTTGGGGTGTTAGATAACGGGGCTATGGCCTCAGGCTCATCCACTCTTTCACAGCAGTGTAGGATAGGGACAGACATTTCTGAAATAAGTGTGTCAGGGCTAACACAGAACTTGGCTTAGTGTCCCTCATCAGAGAAAAGCCACTACACCACTCACGTGTCTCCCTTTTTATAACTGAGCTCCAAGCCCACGTCTGCCAGGAAGCCTTCCTGGATGCCTCCAGCCCTTGCTGCCCTGAGAGCCCTTGGCATCCCTCGATAGTTCTGTTTCCTGTAGCAGAGGACTAAGTGCAGTGTGCTGATTGAGAACTTTCTGTTTTGGAGTCAGAGAGCAGGGCCTAGGTCCTGGCTCTGTACCTCATCAGCCAGCCCTGTGCTCTCAGGCGAGTCACTATGCTCCCCAGGCCTCCGTGTTCTCAGCTGCAAACCTCATACGGTTGTTGTGAGAAATAACTAAGACGAATACAGGTAAAATACAGTGTCTAGTAATGTGTGAGTCATTGGGTGACCTCAGGGAGGTGATCTGGAGGCTTCTCAGCCTATCAGGCGAAGGGGAAGGAACTCCAAACCCTGCCAGTGCACTCAGGCTCGCTCAAGCGCTGCTTTTCACGAAGCCCTGCTTTTCAC